AAAAAGTGTTTTTACTTGCCACCATAGGGAAAGGGGCACAGTCATATGTCAAATCGTCATTGAATTTTCTTTATTGCTTCCTGGTCTTTAGGCTTTATTTTCATTTTATTTTTTTTTCTTTTTCAAAATGATCAGTTTCAAAGATTGATTTATACAGTAGCTTGAGTGATATATATTAGCCATCCCATAAGGTAATGTACATGCACATAGACATCTTTGACTTATCGATGTAAAGCGACACAACCATTCATTATTAATAATAATAATAATAATAATAATAATAGTAGTAGTAGAAAAGATAGCATATATGTTCTACTTCTTGTTGTAGATGTTATTCTCTCATTTACAACAAGGTTTGCGACCTGTAATTATTATTTAGAAATTATAGTATTAAATACATGTCTAGACCGACATCAAGAAAAAGGAAAAAAAATACAGAATTTTGAAAAATAAGAAAATCTCGGAAAATAAATGTTAATTGCATATCACATTTTTTTTTTGTTTTTAGAAGGTATTAATATCTATTATCAAGCTAATTTATATAATATTTAGAATTACACTAGAATCGAGTTCAGAGATTTTTTTAAGAAAAAAACATACCCACCATCTCTCACACCGTTCAATTAAAAATACAAATACGTTTTCTGATGGAAACAAATGTTTAATATATATATATATATATATAGTCGGATTTAACATATTCACATAGCCATAACATTAGACAAATTAAAATTCGATTTATTATTGTAATAATAATTACCATTATTGATAAGGATGACACTATAAATACTCTTTCTTTGTACTCCCTTTTCTGTACCGAAAATTTTATCAAAAAACCCGCAAACAACAGAACAAAACAAAAAGAAGAGAAAGGGGGGAAAACCATGAAAAATAGCTTTGAATCGAATGAAACAGAAGAGGCGGAGCTGAGGAGAGGGCCATGGACGCTTGAGGAAGACACCCTTCTCACCAATTACATTGCCCATAACGGCGAAGGCCGCTGGAACATGGTCGCAAAATGTGCTGGTAAATCCATGTTCTCTTTTTAAAAAAATGTCCATACCCATTATTGCATAATCGTTTTTATGTGTGTGGGTGTCGAAAAGTTGTGATTTTGATTCATGGGTTCTTTCCATTTTTTTATCATATTCTCTCGTTTTATAATAAAGTTTTGATCTTTGAAGCAAGTGTTTGTGTTTTATGTGGACAGGGTTAAAGAGAACAGGGAAAAGCTGCAGATTGAGATGGCTGAATTACCTCAAACCCGACATCAAGCGCGGGAATCTAACTCCTCAAGAACAGCTTCTGATCCTCGAACTTCACTCTAAGTGGGGAAATAGGTTTGTGATTGATTGATTGATTAACCTCTCCACATATATATACACAATTACATATATATATATATATGTATATGTATATTGTCTGATCATTTCTGACAATGAAACTCTGTACTGTTTATACTTCGCAGGTGGTCTAAGATTGCGCAACATTTACCGGGAAGAACAGACAACGAGATCAAGAACTATTGGAGAACGAGAGTTCAGAAACAGGCTCGGCAACTCAACATAGAATCCAACAGCGAGAAATTCTTCGACGCTGTCCGGAGTTTCTGGATGCCGAGATTGCTCGAGAAAATGGAGCAGCAGAACTCGTCATCCGACTCGGCTTCTTGTTCGTCGCGGCCGAGCGATAACTGTCCGCGTGGCTCTGATGATCTTCTTCTTCCCTCGCAATCATTGAACCCTAACGAACACTGTTCAAGCTCCACGCCCGATTTCGAGACAGTTCCGCAACTGATGGATCTGTCTGATCAGAATTTAATGCAGTTTCATGGAGGAAGTCAGTGTGTAAGTGAGGAGGAATATGGGTATGGACACCACCACCACCACTTTCATGGGTTTGAGGATTACATGGCTTCTTCTATGGGCAATTTAGACATTTCACCTTTGGAATGCCACGTGGAGGACGGTGATTCGATGATGTACGAGGATGTGACACAGGATCCGATGTGGAACATGGATGACATTTGGCAGTTTAGGGAGTAGGCAAAGCTGGGGCCAACAATCCCTTAGTTGTCTGGATAATGCAATCAATTTAATTTGGACCCACCACCACAATTCCTAATTATAATCCCTGGCCTTCATTTATATTTTAATTTATACGATCCAAAGTTTGTTGGATCTTTATACACGATATTTTGTTCTAGATTTCATGGATATTAATTGTATCTGAAAAAAGGGTTCTTGTAATATATTGTTGTTTCCATGCAAAAGGTCTTATATATATTTATATATAAAGGTAGGCTTGAAGTGAAGTAGTCTTTCTTGTTATAAATTCTTGTTTTATTTTATTATGTTTGTCTTCTTAATCAAAGGATAATCATTAACAAACCAGATTCCTTTTCCACAAATTTCTTTTAACGATCACAAAGAATTAAAATTTATCGCTTCACTTAGTATATAAAAAACTTACGTTTAAATCGTTTCGTAATATTAGTCGAAGTTTCTGTAAAGAAAATAATAAAAGTTCATAGATTTATTTATTTTTCATTTACAATAGATATTAGACAAGTGACCCTTACTGCATGGTATTCTCATGCAATTTATATGGTATGGAATCCTCCTCCTCCTTTTTTTCATTATTTCTTATCAAAATTGAACAATTTTTTTTAACCTTTAATTTTCTAATTGTTATACATTTTATGGTAGTTGTAAATTTCGGACAATGATTAACCTTAATTTTCATGGACATAACACCAATTTGATTGAATATATGATATCAAAATCCAACCAACAAAAGCTTTTTTTTTTCGTTAGCCTCATGATTGCCCATCACCAATAATATATAACAAAGACAAAGTCCCCATATTCATTTCATTATCCACAAGAGTTTTCCACCAAAAATGATTAGGAAAGGTGTCCCTTTAATTACGAGAGTGTGTTAATAATTAATTAGCTTTTGAATTATTGGATGTTATCTTTATTTCAAAATAAAAGTTGCAAGAACCTTTTCATAAGTTTTTTTTTTTTTTTTTGCTTTTTCGATTACATGGAAACTCCACAATGATTTGATACCAATTGCGCTAAAAATGAAAAATCCAAAAACCATTAAAAAAAATGTTGAAGATTTTTATTTTTATGATATGTGCCTTTTGGGAGGCGAAGAGAGAATTTAGATCACATATTCTATGAGACTTTTTGGATTTGAAAGATATCCCATGCTTTGCCTGCGCTTTTTAAATTTTCATATCAATATATATATATATATACACGCACACATATGGAAGATCGTAAATATTTCATTGCTAATCATCTGTATCTCTATTATTTGAAAAAATAGATTATATCTGGCTTTTCGTAGAATTGAAATAATTTTGACGATATACCCTTATATTTTATGAAGCAGATCATATCAAATTCATGAATTTTTTTGTCTTTGGTGTTTTTTTAATCGATGGTAATTCATCGAATATGATGCAACAATGGTATATTAAAACTTTTTTTTTTTTTAACCCCAATGGCTTAGAAGCTAATAAAGAAAATGTGGGGGTGTGAATTGAGAAAAGACATTAATTTAGTGGACCAAATATGAATAGATGCATCACTGTATAGGTCAAAAACTCGATTAATTTAAATAATTATTTGGTCCGAATTTGATTTTTTTGTCAAATGAAATATACATTGCTATGGTTGCTATGGGGTCCATCTCATTCTCACCAGTCACCATGGTTTATTTTTCTCCTCATTATTTCTTTTTCCTTACTTTATTATTGAGCTAAAAGTCCACGTTTCTTAAATTATTATGTTTTTGCCACATTGTTTTAATTGAATGAATTTCACCCTCGTTTTATGGTTCCTCTCTCATTCTCATTGCCATGATTGTTTCGTCGTAGGTTTTGGTCGAGGATGTAAAAAAAAAAAGCTATTTAAAGCCAATCTCAATTGACTACAGATCGTTAATTAATCAACACCTAATTAAGACACGTATTTAATAATTAAGACCTAACCCAATCAAATGTCTCAAAGCATACAGTGAAATTTTGGCACCAACAATTTCGTAATCTCGCATTTAATAAAACGGCTAAATCACTTTATTTTATTCGAGGGTTATAGACCAATGGTTTAAATAATGATAAAAACATATTCATGGTTCGAACTTCGAACTCTCTTTAAAATTCCGTTTCAAAATATTTATAGTTTTAGGTTATTTTCTATATTTCAAAATATTTATAGTTTTACATTTCCGAAATACGTTACATCTATAGACAATTCAAATAGAAACTAAATGGATGGGAAGACAACAAAAAAAAAAATCAAAGGAAAATCTGCCGACAAAATTTTGGACCGTCGTGTTCAAGCAAATTGATAAGGATACAAAATGCGATACACATATACACGTGGCATGGGAATCAACGTAGGACAACTGAAGTAACTCAGAATCTAAACACCTTGAAATCACCAATATTTGCCCTAAAACCACATTCTAGGGCTCAATTTCTTCCTTTTTTTCTGTTTTTTTTTTTTAAATATTCATAAACCCAATAATCATTTTTTTTTTCTGTAATATTTTAGGGTTCACACAAAACCAAATGATAACCTTTCGGGTGATGCGAGAGAGTGAATCATATGGAATTTGAAAGCTATCAAATCACACGTCTCTTCCAAGTTTTCAGTCAAATCAAAACTACATGCGTGAAGAGACTAAACTCCCTGGTTTATCTCTCAGAGCTTTCTGGCTTCTTTCGCGCCATTAATGTCGCATCATTACAGGGAACATATTTCTTTCTATCTTGTGATAAAAAAAAATAAAAGAAATGAGAATATTAATAACGTGCGTGGATTTTGACTGTCTGCTTAGATGTCATGAATGAACGAGTTACTGTCCCAAACTGACCAAAGACTTTCAACAACTTGATAGTTTCCCAGAACGATGTACAAAATGAAGCAAACAAAGCATAGTTTTCTTATTGTGTTATGGGGTTTTCACTGTTACAACCATTTAAGGATTTTTTTTTTACCGGTTAGGTAAATGTTGGTGTTTTCATGTAAAAAAGTGTTTTTACTTGCCACCACCTTTGCCGTAGCTGTCTTTGAGGGTGACGGTCCGGTTGAAGACGAGCTTTTCCCGGGTAGAATCCTTGTCAACCGCGAAATAACCTAACGTTTTCCATAAGAATTTCAGTTTAAAAGCGTATCGATATCGAATTTTTGTAAAAAAGTTTTCGACTTTCATGAAAAAAGATGAGAGGAATGGAGAGAATTACCGAGCCTCTCGAACTGGAATCTGTCCCCGAGAGCAGCATCTTCGACAGATGGAACAGCAAAGGCACGAGGCATTACCACTTTCGAGTTTGGGTTTAGATCTGAGATCCAATCCTCGAGCTCTGATGGGTTCTGTTCATGATTTTATGTAAAACATTATACGATGAAGATCTTTGCATTTGCGAGTGATATTACAGAACATCAGAGAGAAAGCTCAAACCTCGGAGTTAAACAGCTTATCGAACAGCCTGACTTCCACCCGCAATGGCTCTTTTCCCGGGGATGGTTCGGCTACCCAGTGGAGAACTCCCTGCAAAATTACTGAAAAATGTTAAAATCCAAAAAGGGAGTAGCAGATTCATAAAGAACTTGAAGAGGGCAAGTGAAGAACTGGGCGGAAAGAACCTTTGGCTTCGACTTTTTCTCAGGATCATATTCTGCATGGATCTCAACAACGGTCTCATTGTCGTTGTCATCGAGGATAACGTTGGTGCATTTGATGGGGAAAGCGTATCTGCAATCAGGAAGCACATTAGTTACATTGAGACCAAGTTTACTACCAAAGCAGAGATGAAATTTCAACTGTGAATATATGTATATATGTATATAGATTATACCTGAGTATGACTGATTTACCCGGGGCGAGCCCGTAGTAATCTTTCGAATCCTTCAATCGGAAGTCAGTTCGCTCGATGTATACGACTCTAGAAAAGGGAACCTAAAATCAAGAACAACAACAAAAAAGACGGTATCATCAAAAAAGGGAAAACAACTGGTAATGAGGGGGGGGGGGGGAACAGTAGTTTGGCAATAAATCACCTTGTAGAAGGAAGAAGGATCGTCGTTCTGAGCATCGGGCCATTTTTTTGCATCGAGCTCCATAACCTTGTCAGATTCCATATTGGTGATGACAACCTTGACAGGATTAAGTACCACCATGGCACGGGAAGCAGTCTTGTTCAACTCTTCTCGGATATGATGCTCAAGACGGCTCACATGTATCATGCTATTATCACTGAAATAATAAAGAATAGATGCCATATTCAACGAAAATTCTTAAAAACGGGTAAAAGGGCATGACGAAAACAGTAAAAAAATATGAATTTAACCTTCGGGTGATTCCAATGCCTCGTACAAAAGAATTAATAGCAGTTGAAGTCACACCCCTCCGCCTCAAACCAGCAAGTGTCATAAGACGAGGGTCATCCCATCCATCAACATATTTGTTTGTCACAATATAATTCAACTGTAGTAAAAAGATAAAATCATATATGCAGAAGGGGCACTCGGGTAAAGTTCAAAACTTTCTAACTATAAGGATAGGAATAATTACCGACCTTACGCTTTGACATTACAGTGTTGGTGATGTTCAGCCGAGAATATTCCCATACATAAGGCATGTAGAGTCCCAGTGCATGTAATAACCAGTAGTAAGAAGCACGTCGGGTTTCAAACTCGAGCGTACAAAGCTACAAAACCATGCAGATAAACGAAAGCATTAGAAGATGGGTCATTACTAAAAAACATTCTAAAGTTTTATGGATAAAAAATGCTTAAATAATTCATACTTAATCAAATTGAATAAACTGGGAAGCATGCATACCGAATGTGTTACATTCTCAAGGGAATCCACAATGCAATGGGCATAATCATAACTTGGATAGATGCACCATTTATCACCAGCATGTGGATGAGGTGTAAACTGAAAAAAAAAAGATCAAAACAAGTCAGACCACCAATGCTCAAGGAGTTTTTTTTTTGGTGTATACACATCCATATTCATATGATATTTCTGCTTCACTTACCTTAATACGATAGGCGATAAGGTCGTACATGTTATAATTATCACTCTGCATATCTTGCTTCATTCTCAACGTAGCCTTCCCTTCCTCGATCATTCCCCGTCTCATTTCCTCAAAAAGTCTCAATGATTCTTCAATAGGCCGGTCCCTCCATGGGCTGTTCATCTTTTTCTCTCTGTATTCTTTTACCTCCTCGGGAGTCTGAAGGTGAGAAAATAAAAAGAACCAACCAATTGTCAGAATCAATCCATTCTGTGAAACGTGTTCCGATCAGTAACACGAATCCATATATCAAACCTGGTGATCAACATAAGCATGGCCTCTCTTTACCAACTCGACTGCCAAATCGTACAGTTCTTGGAAATAATCACTGGTGTACGTAATCTACAGGAATCATCAAAGTGTTAGATGACTACTGAAAAAAGGCAATAAACGTTAAAAGGCCCGGATTTATACCTTGAATGGTTTCCAACCCATCCAGTCGACAATTTCTTCGATGTGATTGATATACTCTTTCTTTTCTGCCTCTGGGTTAGTGTCATCATACCTAAAACATCATATACACTAAAACAAACATTAGTAATATCCTTATAACAACCAATCTTAGAAGAAATCAAAGATGAATGATGTCCAAGTAGAAGACAAAAAAGAAATCATCACCTTAAATAACAATGACCGTCTCGCTCCTTTGCAAGGCCAAAATCAACGAACATTGCCTGAAAGTATAAATAGTTGATGGCATGAGCAAGTATCAAAACAAAAATTATAGGTCTCACCAAGCTTTTGCAATAACAGGTCCATATAAAATTCTATCACAACCTTATATTAAGTGATTCATGAAGACTTTACCTTGGCATGTCCAATATGTAGATAACCATTTGGTTCAGGGGGAAACCGGGTATATACTTTTCCTCCGGTCAACTTCAAATGTTTCTCAAGAATTTCCTTCATATTGCTACATCTGAGTATAGAACCATCACTGAAAAACACTTCGGTGTGGACCTGTGGATAAGACATAACATGAACGTAAATGGTTACTGAAATATTGCTGCTTACAACTTTGCACAATAACAGAGCTGTGTGACAATCATGTCCGTGAATGAATTTAATGACAATTTCACAACATACATATTACTGTCACCAAATTTTGTTCATAAAAGCTATGTTTTCGTTACACCTCTAGAGTGGTTAAGCTATATCAACAGAAGAGCAACAAAAAAAAATTGAAGCTGGGCATAGAATCTGTAATTAGCAAATGAACTTTTCAGAAACAGACCAGTAAGCAAACGGTGATTACCCTGAGATTTTGTTCTGGAGAGGGGAATATGGAAAAGGGATTAAGCTCCTCCTCAGATAGCTGTGGAGCAGCTTCCACAACCGCCTTTTTTTCCTATAAAAATATGCAATGGAGATGGAAAAAACACATACACACACACTATTCAAGCAGCAGAATACTCAAATTTTGCTACACCCACCTCAGATTTGGCAGGCTTCTCCTTCTTCTCCTTCTTCTTTGTAGGCTTCTCGTTATCAGCAGCAGTTCTCTCACCAAGCAATTCAAGCATTTTATCGTCTATGACTTTCTATCGTAGACACGAGTTCAGGTTAGAAAAGCATACATTCATGCACAACTAAGGCAGCATTATATTGAATGTTAAAACTGTGAACACACCTTCACAATTTTAGGATCTGCCCATGGAAGCCTTTTCCGGACATGTCCAAATAACTCACCCACTACATGGCAGAAGAAAAATCGTCAAATGCAACCATAAAACAGAATGAGATTGATGCATGAACACACAATTAGACAGAGACATTGGTACAGATATGAACAAAGAAGTTGTATGATGAACAGAACAAAGACTAACCATTAGTTCGGTAACGCAACTCCAGTATTGTATTCTTAGACTCTTCAAATATTTCGCCTACGGTTTTCTCAATATCTGCCAGTGAAACTTCGACCCCTGTTCCAAAACCATGATGAAAATATCAAGTCTGAATCAATGGAGTGCGACAAAGATATAAGCATCTTGCCAATATGAGATGTACAGATACCAAAACAGACAGGTATCAAGAATTCAGAGATAAGATAAGTTAAAAAAAAACATACCAACACCACATGCTTCCTCGAATTCATTAGGGTTGAATTCCTCAGGACCGGTGTTTGCCAAAAAGGAAAATGCAGCTTCCAACTGGGCTGGGGTCTTAATCTGCAGAAGTATATGACAAACAAAGAACATCAACAAGTTTAGCTACAAACAAAGAAGGAACTGTTCTAACAAAAAAAAAATCAAATTGTGAAGATTATTCAATCAAGGAGGTGAGTAACAGACCTTAGAGGAGACAACATACTCTAGCAATTTCGGACGATGCACAAGAGCATTTGCAGGGTACTTTGTGGCAACCTAAACCAAATTATTGCGCGAAAATGAAATTAGAAGAACCTTTTTTCCCAATTACACGAATTCATGGAATTTGATTCCATGATAAGAAGACAAAGCTTCATGTTTTTCACTGTCTTCACTCTTCGATGAGCAAAATCAGATGGGCACCAACAGATAATCTCACCGTGTATAATAGATTTCCAGTAGTTCGGTCGCATCCATCCGTAACAGCAGCCTGAAAACAGGTCAAATGTCATGAAAACAGAGTCGCGATCATCCAATTGAAGCAGCCAGAGATCGAATTACAGCAAGGAAACATGCAAAAGGAAGTAAACGCAAATCCGACATAATCGGATTCGATGTAATTAAAAGACAAAGCTGCAGACTTTCTCAACCGAAATCCCTTAATTTGCTTCAATTGAAAAAAAAACCCACATTATCAAATGAACCCAATAAGGTTTAAGCCCGAATCAATCAGATAAAACGAATCCGAGAAAAAGAGGAAGAGGACGAAAATGGCGACCTCGTGGATGACGGCGGTGAGATTGGAGGTGACTTTGTTGTTGGCGACAGTGTTGCGAGCGGTTCGTTCGTCCAATCCAATCTTCAGGAAGAGCTCGAGAGATCTGTCGGAGCTCCCTTCTTTCGCAACCATGGCGAAAACAATTGGCTCGGAGAAAGACGGCTCTAGGGTTTAAGGACACAAGTTAAACGGCAATAACAGAGGAATCGTGCAAAGTGAAATATATATATATAAGAAATAAAAATAAAGCCATTGATATTTAATTAATTAATATATAGTTGTGGGGTTCTTCGTAATTAGAAAGTAAATAAATTTGATATAAATCTATGTTCTTGACAATAACAATGGGTCAAATTGATTCTGCGTGTTGTTTTGTTTGCTTGGCGATCACTCTTTAATTATATATATATATTATTTGACATAATAAAATGAAGAAGATTCATGGTAACTTTTGCTAAATGAGTTGTTTAAGTGAGCTAATTAAAGGAGTTTATTAGTCAGCTAATTAATTTTGTAATTCGTTCTTCTATTTAAAGAAACTTCTAAAACATAACACATAGAATTCTTTCAATACATTTGACCGTTTCTTGAATTTTTTTTAATGAATTTAATATTCATCAAATAATCGGAACAACTTAATGAATTGGACAAATTGAAGTACAGAAGTAATATATAAAATGTTAACATTTGTATTGCTTAAAAAATATAAGGAAAAACAAAGAATTACTCGCATTCTTACTAAGACCTTACATCTAGGGGTGGTGATTTCGGGTTTCGATTCGGTTATTTCAGATTCGGTTATTTCATATCCAACCGGTTATATAAATTTAATCGGTTCGGTTCAATTTTTGTATAATAAAATTATAACCAAAAAATTATATTTTTCGGTTTATTCGGTTCGGTTTTAGATCAGATCGATTCAGTTATGACATATTAAAAAAAAAGAATATTAATCCTACGTAAACTTCAAAATATTTATCCAAGTAAATCAACAAAATGATTAATCCTTCAAAAAATTACAAAAAAATCTACAAAAATTTCAATAAATAGGATAAAAATTTAAAATATTAAATTTATAGTTTATTGGGTGAAATACTAAGGGTAAAAGTGAACTATAAAAAAAAATAACACTAATAATAATAAGGGTCAAAACATTAAAAAAATTCTAATAACTGTTCGGTTAACTGCGATTATTTGGTTATTAACCGAATTAAACCGAACCCGAAAGGTTATTGAACTTTCTCAATTATTCGGTTATCAAGCAAATAACCGAAGCGAACTGTTTTTATTCGATTTGGTTATTCGGTTAATAACCGAAATGGTCATCTACTTACATACTTACATCTACTATTCTACACTTATGTCAAATAACTAATTGTATTGTAGACTAGAATGAATTTCGGATCTAAAATACAAAAAAGAATAATATTTAAAACGTTAATTCCTTGTAAAAATCGATTGGTAATAATTTACTTTAAAATAAATTATTCAAATAAGATATAAGAATAATTAAAAAATGAAACATAAAATATACTTTTAATGAAAATCACAATATAAAAAATTATTTTTTTCAAAATAAAACAAATTAAATTTAAAGAACAAAAGTAAATCAACACCTTCTGTAGATTTTGTGGAGACCTTGATCAACATACATATAATTGAGTTTCGTGGGTCCACGCCTGTTTGAAAACATAATGGGTCCTACACATTGGGAGACATGTAAATATTAAATGTATAGTGACCTGAGTTTCTTTTTAAAAGAAAAAGCTAAAACTACTAAATTAATTTAAAAAAATATATATAGAATCCAAGAATATTTCTATAGATGTTTGTACAATGTATTATGTTCGGTCGTCGTTTGATTCAAGATCAAATCAATACATACTCTCACACATGCACGCTCTCTAACCATATTCCTATAATAATATGCCAATGATTCATATAGTGCTTAATCACGTTTATAGATACTCTAATCACATGTTTAATCCCATATACAAATTTATATTAAACAAAAATGCGTGTACTGCTTAGATATGGAGAATAATTAGAAACCCATTTAATCCGAATTTTTCGTATATTTTTCTAACCTCTGGTAATAGTCATGATGATGATGATGATGATGATGATTACACATAGATCATATAACAACGAATTATAATATTTATGGCAATCACCATATAAAATTAAATATTACAAACATTTTCCTTTATTAAACTAAAAAATCACCAATGAGATATAAAAAGTATTTCACAAAATGATTTTTGAACGTCTGATTAATGATACTGATTAGTGGAAAATAAACTCTCAGTCATATGGTTTGATTTTGATATTTTTCCATAAGCCCCATTTAATCAATTTACATTTTTAATGCTGGGTCCCGAACCATTTCCCTGATTTCGAAACATATTTATTTTGATTTCGAAACATTTAATCGATTATTACATATTTGTTTTTATGAAAGAAAATAACATTATTCTTTATTTGAACATTTAAAAAAAAAAACAGAAGTGGTATAGTAACTTTCATTATCCCTTCCGGTGCATGGATTTAAATCCATCCTTAACACACTTTTTTCTCTTTCCTTCTCCGACAGTTCTTTTTGTTTTGTTGTGAACTCGCAGCTTCTGTGTCATCTTCTTTCTCTCTCCATCTCCTATTGTCTCATCATCTTCATCATTATTCCCCCTTTCCACAGAAAAAATTAAAGCAGAAGCCTGAATTCCTTCCTTCGGATCTCAAATTTTCCGGGCATTGATTGGTTTCTTGAATGTTCAGAGGAAGACAGATTCTTGGAGAAGACCAAGTTTATGGCGATCGATGTTGTCTGCTCATCCTCGGAATCTCCGAGGTCTGGAATCAGTCCGAGAATCTCTTTCTCGAACGATCTGGTTCAGACAGACGGCTGCAATGGCGGCGAACTCAGATTGGATTCGACCCTTTTGGATTCGGGTTCGGATTTTGACTTCTGCTTCGGCTCGGGTTGCTCTGTGCAGGAACTCTCCTCGGCCGATGAGCTCTTCTCCAATGGCAAGATCCTTCCTGTCCAGATCAAGAAATACGAATCTTTTTCTCAGAAACCAGTTCGAGTTCAACGATCATCTTCTCTCTCATCATCATCATCTTCGTTCTGTAACCAGAAGGCGACAGAGAAGAAGAGGCTGAAGGAGCTTCTTCTGAATCCTGACTCAGATCTCGAAGACAAGCCCTCGTCTTCATCTTCACTGTTTCTACAGTTGAAGAGAAGCATAAGCCTAAACTACGACACGAGTCGTGGCAAGGGGCTCATCAGATCGCTGCAGTTCCTCACACGAAGCAATTCCACGGGCTCTGCTCCAAACCCTAAACCTAACTTGCACCCCAAGGAAACCCACCACCACCAGAAGATCAAGAACCAGTCTCTCCCCAGACGGCCTTCACCCTTGAGAAGATCGTCTTCTCTCTCGAACTCAGCCCCACACCTTTCATATCACTCTGTTTCAACCCCGAAACCGTTTCACAGACACAGCTTCGGAGGTTATAACAATGGCAGCGGAGGAGTTCGAGTGAGTCCCGTCCTGAATTTCCCTTCGCCGACGTTTATGTCAAGTTCCACGGTCGGATTCTTCGGCCTCGGGTCACTTTGTACCGGTAAGATGAACAGGAGAACAAGATGATACCATTTCCATTGTTTCTTTTTTTTTTGTTCTTAGAGAAGATGGGTAAAATTTTCAGACAGAAAATGTTTTTTTTCTTCAGTTTGTTTAATTCATGGAATATTGGCAGTAAATGTGGGGTTTATTCAGCATGTGAGCATTGTCTGAAAATCCCAAAAATAATTAGCATATAGTGCGGAAGAACAATGAAACTAGCTCAGGTGTTGATTATTGGATCTCGGCCTTGTGGATTGTGGCCATAGTAAAAGGGGGGGAAAATGGAAAATGTTATAAAATGGACCGTCGTGGGTATATTATAATACGTCATTGGAGTCATCGAGCGGGGCTGAAGCCTAACCAGAGAGATTCGGTTTATATGTTACATCATCATCCTGACTATACAACGGTGGTCAACCATGGCCCGCCTCCAAATCTGGTCAACCACTACGGTTTTGTCCGGTTAAGCAACTGAACCGAACCGGAATCTGGTGAACCGGCACTGGGCATTGGTACAAAAATAACATGGTAGTCTGGTACACAAAGGTGGACGGCTCTCCTCTGGATGTAGAACAAACGAGAAATATGCAAAACTGACCTAAAATTCTCTGTAGAAAACCTCGGGCCGTAAGGTTCGAAAGAGCGATTCCGACTCGATGAAGCCGAGACCGGGTAGCGGGATGGCGGAAAGGACGCACCTTTCGATCTTCTTCCACCGGCAAACCAGACACACAAAGAAAACAGATCATACTTAACTGGACACTGCCGTGAAGAACAGAAAGGTGAGAGGGCCTATTTGAATAGATCATTGGCCTAGCTTCATGAGGAAGAAGATGATGGAAAGGAATGAGCTTTTTCACTGATTTATAAAACACAGTTCCTGAAATCGAAACAAGAACTAGTCGTCCCATAGCTTTTGTACAGGTTATTCATCCATTTGGGGAAGAAAACTACTGAACGAAAAAGATACTTAGCAAAACAAAATTAGCAGTTCAAAGCACATGAACGAACTAGCAGCAGCACCAGAATTCACGAGCTTCGGCTTTTTTTTCTTTTCCATCAGATCTTTCCAGTGTAAGCAACCGAACGGAATCTGACCTCATCTCGTCATCTCTGCGGAAAACAGTAAGCCAAAAAAGATTCAGACTTTGCAAGAATATGGATCTGGGTTTGGATCACGACATGTGAAATCATCAGGAAGATGTAAAACATAGTAGCGAGAGATTCAGAGTGGAGGAAAGATTGGTTACCTTTCCATTCTCTACCGGCTCTGGAACCTTGTAGGTGTCGAGCGTGACCTCTGTCAGATACAGACCGGGACACAAGAACTGCATCCATGGGGAGAAAGGAAAAGCAACATCCAATTAGAAGAACAGCATTCGATATCGACAAATCCGGAATTTCGATCTGAGAGAAAGGGGGATTCGAAATTTTGGGAGAAATCGGAGACTTACGTCCAATTGTTTCTGAACGGTTCTGGGACGCTTCTTGGGACGGCGAGGAAGTCGATGACCCATGACCTCCATGAAATCCTCCTCGATCTCCTTCCTCTTCAATGGCACCGAGAACTTTGGTCGCTCCTTCGTGTCGGCTCCCGACACCGCCGCCGCCGCCGCCGTCGCTCCGCCTCTCTCCCTCACCCTCGGCGACTTTGCCGAATCGTTAATCAATGGCGATGGATTCACACTTCTCTCCTCAATCTTCAACCCTTTGTTGTGGTGATTGAAGCCATTGTACTGGCTTCCGTTGCTGTTTCCGGTCGGCGCCTTGCACGCCGCCCTCCTCGTCCGTAGGTTCCACGGTTTCACCTCCGCCGCCGCCGCCGCTGCCGTTACCGCGGAAACCTCCCTCTCCTTCTGCTTCTCCTCTTGTCTCTCCTTCCGTCTCCCCTTCTCTCGGCCGACGCCGTCTCTCTGCTCTTCCTCCTCTCCGCAGCCCAAAGCTTCTTTCCTGAAAATCGATTCCGTCATCTTGTCCGCCACCGTCCTCAGATCCGACATGATCTTCTCCCTGAACTCCTCGATCCCTTCTTCGCTTCCGTTCTCCGCCGATCTCGACGAAACCAACCTCAATCGCCGGTTCTGGTCGTTGCTACGCCGGTCACCGTCTCTGAACCGAACCGGAATCACCTCGGACGAGGTCTCAAGTTTCAGAGGTGAAGATCGGCGCCGGAGCCGGTGATCGACGGAACCGCCGCCGCTCTCCGAATCGTCCCTCATGCACCTGAGATGTCGCTGACTCCCCCACTTCAAGTTCGGGAGCGTGAAATTGTGGAGAGTCTTCGATCTCTCATGCCCTGTCTCCATGTAGTCTCTCTCACCAGGCAACACCATTGATCGGTGCACTCTCCTTTCTCTCTCGTCGAAACTCGAGAGCCAAACAGATCGATGAAAACTCGACTCCTCAAGATTTCTCTCCGACGAACTCCAGAGATTTTCTCGAGAAAATTTTGATTTTTTTTCCTCCGAATTTCTCGCCGGTGTAGAATTGTTTCGGATGCCGCCAGGGAAGGCCAAAGTTCATATATATATGATTTCAGTGCCAAGGGGAAAAATTGGCCACAACGGGCCGTTTAAAGTCGAGAGCTTTTTGGAAATTCTTCCGACTTGTGAGGGTAGTTTAGGTATTTCAATAGATTCGTACTAAGATGCGCCGTGTGCTATGGTGCGCATTGAATTTAGGTTTTACCGGGTTCAGATGTCGTTTTCAAGTGATAGGTGGCTTAACAACCGTCCGATTCGTTGAACGCTCTAATCGTAGCCGTAGATCTGAACCCACCGCAACCAGACACATCACAGTGCATTGTTTCGTTTTTTCACCTTCGATTCAAATAAGAGTTTGGATTTAATTATATATAGGGAAATTCAATTTAGCACATTTTACTCTTTTTTTTTTACAAAGTTAAAATTTAATATATTTATTACGATTTTGTATCAGCAAATAACATTTTATACGAATTGCATTAATTTTATCAATCAAATATTTTTTTTTCAAAATAGACACACACCCATGACGGGTAAACCATAATAGATCCATATTCTCGGCATCACATCTTCTAGATATCCAAATTATAATAAACACGATTTATATATACAATAGAATATATATATATATATATATGATATGTAATCTCCATCGGATTGGTTGAATTCAAAGATCAAAACAATTCTATTGAACAGTTTTAAATATTAGCATTTCCTAACAAAATAATGTTTTTCATACTTGAAATAAAAAAAAAAAAAAAATCTTTTAGAATATATATATATATATATATATATATATAGAGAGAGAGAGAGATACATCACATAAATGTAAATTTTCTATATTTTCTATTTATGATGAGCTAGAGCTTATGGAAACTTTTAAGATGAATTGAAATCTTTGGACCCAGATTTAGATTTATTCATTTTTATCAAAAAAAAGAGAAAAATGATTTTCTTGTACCGGTTATGGCCCAAGTGTGCACGCTAAACCCCCTACGTCGACCGTCGTTACAAGTGCCCCAATATTAGGACCATGTACATACATATATATATGTATGCGTGCATATACACCTATGGCATATATATAGACATATATGCGTATCTGCATCTTACAAAATCCATCTTGTTCATAAATTTGGGCGTTCTTGCAATCTTGGCCAGGGTTTCTTGAATCTAATGAAACATATTTATTGTAGATAGATATTAAAATTAGGGACCGTTTAGATGAATGAGAAAGGTATTCCCAATACTTGCACACTTCATGCACGTTACGTACATCTAGTTATTTCCATTTTAATAATTCATCTTATAAACATAACATACAAGGCAATTTATTACATCTAAGATTGGTTATAAGGCAATATATATATATATATATATGTGTGTGTGTGTGTATAAGAAAGAACCCTAAGCTTATTTATGCAAACCACAAGACCAAATTCAAAAGTTCCTTAGCTGTGAAACCCTCCAACGGCTACTTAGAGAGAGAGAGAGAGAGAGAGAGAGAGTATGCATTTGTATTATATACACAAAAAGGACAACCGACCATTACTCTTTTCACAGGTTGGCATAGGCTCCTCCTCCTCCTTCACGCCACTAATTCGATTCCTTCACTCTCAATCTCACTCTCTTCCTACATCCCTTAAATTAAACACTCCCCTCTCGAACCAATGAATGTCACAAACACAAGAAATACCCAAACCCTAAATCCAAAATGCCCCAAAGAAGAAGACCCATTTTCCACAGAGTCTCGAACCTTCTTAAAGTTCCAATCTTGAGAAGACCCATCATCCAAAAACTCAAATTTCGGACCAAACCAAGAAAAAGCAAGAGACTTGAGCTTCTCAGGCATTACAATTACCGGTTCCTCGAAGAATACCAGTTCTCGCCTCCGACCACGCCTCTAATCCGACGCGGAAAGAGGAGAAATCCGATCGATAACGCGATGTTTAGACGCGTTTTCTGGATCTTTTTTCCCTCCCGGTGCATCGGTGGATTGAAGGAAGAACGTGTTCTTGATGCAAGAAAACGCAGTTGGATCGAGGTGGAGACTTTGCCTTGTGCCGCAAGCGAACTGTCTGAGCCGTTGGATTACTTCGGGGAAGATGATTATGGCGATGATTCGATTGATCTGAGGGCTGAGATGTTCATCGAGAGATTCTACGGCGAGATGAGGATGGAATCTGCTTGCTTTTGACCAAAGTCAACCGCCATGTTCGGGTTTTGAATCGTTCTTTTTTCTTTCCTTTTATCTTGCACCACATGATTCGTATTTTAATATTTATTTGTTTTATCAGCGCCATGTTAAAGAGATGGTGGAAATTCGTTCCGGAAATTCTTTTTTTTTTGTTGGGACATTTAATATTTTGTTTGTGATTTGGTTATGGAAGTTTTCCTGAGATGAAAGTTATGTATAATTTAAAAATCATAAAAAAAAAAAGAAGAAAAAGAAAGCCATTCGGACCGAAACAAAGCCTCTGCAGTCCCAACTAGTCCAGAAAACAACACGAGCCACTATTGGGCTTCCCTATTGGCCCAATTTAATCACCAAAGGCCCATGGACTTTAGAATTTGGGTGTTGTCGACAAGAGGGCGAGGGCTTTTGGTTTGGTTTTCAAAGCCCAAAAAAGTTTGTGATTACAAAATCCTCCTCTTTTTTTTTTCTTTTGCTTGAAGTTTTTTTTGGTAATTAGTGTCTTGAACCGAGATCTAAACTAATCTCGAGATTGAAAGTAACCCATATGATTGGAATTATATTTTTCTCTCCAATTTGAGGTCGAATTCGGAACAGAACAGACGTTTTGCATTCATGTTTCACCGATTGAACTATCCAGGTTAAAATAGAACAACAATCTTTGCTTGAAGTTCATAACAATGTTGGGTGACTTCTAAAAAAACCAGTTCAATCAGAATCGCGGGTTTACAGTTTCTTACTGAAAAATATAAGAGTATATATGGAAAAGGTTTGAAACATGTTTAAGAATTTCATGTTGTTTCTTTTGGATTTCTACTTGGTTTAACATATTCTCGACTGACTATTATAATATATTTATGTATTCTAAACAGAATACACTATTAAATATCAAGAAACATAAAAAAGATTTGAGAATATTTAGATTTGATTTGATTTCTATCTTTTTATATATTTACATTAGCTCAATAAGATATTTTATGATATTCTATCTCTATCTGTAACGATTTATATTGAATAATGAAAAATCAAATTCTTTTGTCTATTATAAACATCAATACTTAACATTATACGGATCATAAGAATTGGAAATGTTTGACAGATAATTGTAGATATAGAAGATAGAGGAAAGCAGTGGTCGAAGAAGGAGCAAATGAGGAATAGACACGAAACGTACGTGGAAAACAATCATCACGTGTCCTAAAAAGTGTTAAGTAGTTGTAGTAGGGGCACTTCCACACACTCTCTCGAGGGTCTTCACCAATATAACATTTGTACACTTTTGTTCTCTCTCTCTCTCTCTCTGTATATATATATATATATATATATATATACACACACACACAACACATGTTACATCACTCACTTTACTTTGGAAAGGTGTTCTAAATCTGCGGACAAAGCATGAACTCACATGAATCAGCCCATGTGAGTTGAAGGGTTTTGGCATCAAAGACATTGACGTATACGTGGGGTCTTCATTCATTCCTTTTTTTTTTATATCTACCCTTGGATTTTGTATTTTTTAAATAAAAAAATCTTATACTCGATTTGGTCAAGATTCTGAGTATTTTGCTTCGATTTGTTCTAAATCTTATATCCTTGCACCCAAAGTTGGATAGTTCAACCGATAAAATGGGACGCAAAACGTTTATCTCGTATCAAGTTAGAACTTCAAGTTTAATTAGTTTGGGACTTCATACAACACATTCGGTTATCCAAAAAAAATCTTATACCCTTGGATTCTGATTATTAAGTGAGAGTTATCACTTGTGTTACATATTAATATTCTATATGTGAATTTTAATTCACATGCTTAGGATGAACTTATGAGTTGATTCATGTCTATAATCATAATCAATGGTTCAATATAACATTTGTATAGGCCAAGCCATATATTAATGATCATGTCTAAACCCTAGAAAAAAAAGGTTAAAAAGCAAAATATTCTATAAGGTCTTGATTATACATTATTGTAATTATCGACCAAAGATTCGACTACTTCCCTCACTCTATTATGTTCGTTCCATTTCACATCCATTTCAATGGGTTTATTCGACTAACATGCATAAACTTTTTTTTTGGTAATAAGTTATCGTGAATCGAAACTCAAACTAATATTAGGAACCGGAGAAATTCATGTGAATGTCTTTCTCCAAATTTAAGATTCCAACTCGAGCCGAACAGACGCTATATGCTTAGTGTTATAGGAAGATATTATTCTTAGAATATTATCATTAATATTGTTATGATTTACTCTAGATATTATGCCTAGAATATTCTATTGTATTTTGCTATATATTATGATGTATTCTTCCCATTATCAATATAACAGAAAATATTTCTCTATTATGGTATCAGAGCTTCGGTTTTTGTTCTAGATTTTTTTTATTCTTCACATCAATAATGGTGGTCGAATCCGAAAGCGACGATGAAGATGATGATGATTTACTCTAATAGTATCATCGTCTTGAATATCGTCTTTCATTCTTTTTATTTTTTTTTCTAGTTTTTTTTTTCCGACGACGGTACTCATCACCGTCAACCCTAGCCGATGTGCTATTTTTTTTACACGATGTTCGTTTATCGACGTCAACCCTAGCCAATGTGCTACTTTTTTTTTCTCTGACGACGTTCGTTTATCGATGTCAACCCTAGCCGTTGTGAGCTCTTTAAACATGACTTTTAGCCTCTTTCGATTGGAAAACTCCGATCGCCGATCCACATATTTGCGTCATTTATTTTTATTTTCTTCTCTTGTCCCGCTGCTAGACTATCACGCATTATGCGTCGCGCTTTTGCGCCAATTTTTTTTTCTCCGGCCTAGCCGTTATATACACCGCAATTTTTTGCGCTACCGATTTTATTGTCGTGCAACTCAACTCGCACATATGCGCCGCACATCCGTGCCACATCAGCCTCTGAGAATACAGCTCTCAAGCTCTTGAAACGTTATCAAGCAACAACAACTCAAGTCTGGACTACACCACCTCATGGGAGATGATTCGTTTAATACGATCATAATTTCAGTTTTCAGTTTTTATGTAACAAGATTGAATTCATCATAGATAATTCATCTTGAGGGGGCATATAGGAAGATATTATTCTTAGAATATTATCATTAATATTGTTATGATTTACCCTAAATATTATACCTAGAATATTCTATTATATTTTGTTATATATTATGATGTATTCTTCCCCTTATCAATATAACAGAAAACATTTCCCTGTTAAGTGTCTCACGGTACATGCGCAAACTTTGTAAAACGAAGATAAATAAATGACAGTGAAAGCTTATTCTTATCGTAAACGTACCAAAACCCCACTACGGGAATATCATAGTACGAAACGATATACGTTTCGAAATCGTGGCCCGCTTAGGGATAGGGTTTAAAAATTTCAGACGTGGATTTGAATTATGAATCGTGAAACGAAAATAAGAACCAATGAGATCTCGACACACATTCGGGTATCTTTCTTTTGTATTTTTCTTTTTTCACCGAAAAGCCAAACCCTATATATATATATATATATATATATATATATATATA